AAAAATTAGTTTAGGGCCAAAAAATCAAAAAAATTTTTTTTTTTTTTTTTTTTTTTTTTTACAAAATTTGCTATTGGAAAATTGTTTCAATTTTTGAATTCAACAACAATTTTGATTTTCTTATGTTTTAACAACAAATCAAAACATTTACATAAAAGGAAGCAAGACATTTTCAGAAAAAAAGACAAAGCAAAAACAAATTTGCAAAACATTAGTCTAAAAAAAGGAATATTAACTTTATTGTTGGTGTCATTCTTTGTGGAAATATTATATATACACATGGAAACGCCTAAAAACTGCTGATACCACCTGTTGTGTTATGTAGTGTTATATCACTCCACGCCACTAGGTGGAGCCGCTGACAAGAAGTAAATGAGAAACGTTAGGGAGAGTAAGAATGACGTGACAGTGAAGTGCTCCTTCAGATACACGACGTTAATAAATGCACCGAGTTATTCAAGAATGTGTCTTGTTTTTCCACACCATTACACCACCATGTTTATAATTACCTTTATATGTGTGGACATCGCTCTATGCGTTAGCATTTTTGGCTAACTTGAGGGTCTAAGGAGCCACATGTGGCTCTGAAGCCACAGGTCGGAGACCCCTGCTGGTCTAGACGCAGTCACTAGTCTAATCACAATAAGAAAATAAAACAAGTCAAGTCTTAAAGGTATCTTGGTTTAGTTATAGATCACCTCTTCAGGTGGATGACCTACTGACTTTCTGTGCCCTCGATTACAGTAAAGGTTGTATGTTATGTAGATTTAAGACATCTTGTTGCTGTTCTATTCAGCTGTTTTGAAGAGCATCATTAGATACTGTTTCATGAGTTTTTTTGTTTTGTTTGTTTTTATGGTGTACCCTAACTAATGGGTGCATGTGTGCTTCTTTCTATGTGATAAATTCATTGGTTTATGTTGTGTGACACATTAACAAGGCAGTTATTGTAACAGCTCTCGAGTCCAAGACTAATTTCCCTACAACTGCTATAAAATTTGATTTTGATTTTGATTTGATTTGATGATGGATTTATTGGCTTATGACAAACTAATACAGATTTCAGTTGGATTCAATATTGGACTTTGACTGGACCATTCTCACACATGAATAGGGCTAAACCATGTCACTGTTCCTCTGACACTGCGTTTAGGGTTGTTGTCCTTCTGAAAGACACTAGCTCAAAGACTTCTGCAGCTTCTGTCAGGTTTTATTCCTGGATTGCATGTGATGTGTTTGATTTCTGAAACTTGCAGTATTTGGATTGTGTACCAAGCTGTGATTTTTTTAAAGGTTTAAATGTTTGACTTTTGTTGTTTTAAAGAACTGCTTTCCACTTTTCACTGTCTCATGAAGGTCAGGTTAATAGTTGCCCGTTTGATCATTGTTCTCCCTCCTGACTTCTCTTTTCTAGTGTAGGTGGACAGAAATGACTTGGTGGGTTTTCTAGTTGGGTTATAGTCTTTTTCTTCTTGGGATGGATTGACCAGAGCTTTGTGTGACGTTCAATGTTTGGGATATAGCTTCACTTTGAACGCCATTGATCTAAGGCCTTCAGATGAAGCTTTGAATGACAAAGCCGTCTTACTGAGCTACACAATCCTACAAAACAATGCTCATAGTTCAGTGGGTTTGTGCCAGAACCATCACAGTTAGCAGAAACAAAAATTAAAATCCTCTACAGTGAAATCTAATTCCTGCCTTTCTGCCTACACAGCAGTATCACGTTTCTCTGCGTCACCTCCCTCCTATCGCCTCTTACTTTATCTGTGCCACTTTAACAAACACACACTCAAACAAGCATGGAAGAGCTCGAGTTTCTTGAAATGGAGGCAAGTTGTTCTCTAAGCCTCCTTGGCACAAGTCGTCTTGGTGCTTCAGTATAAATACACACACGTTCACACTCATGCAGCTGTTCCAGTGGACCGGGGAGCTGGCGGCTGCGCAGGACCGGTTAGGTTTCCCACACCTACTGAGAGCATTACGGACACTCAGATCCTCAAGAGGGAAACAATCTTCTACTTTCTTCAAAGGGCGCAAAGCTGAAACTAAAGTAGAGTTGGAGAGAAGAGCATGGATGATATTTTATCCACCATTAATGCTCATTGATAGTTGTTTTCCATATATGAAGTAGGCATTGGTGTTAATCTGAAAACTCAACTATATCCTGACATTTAGGTTAAATCGTGTTTGTCTGATAGACTTTCACATTAAAAGTGGACAACTTGGCTTTTTTTTGTAAAATTAACTGTTTGTTTTCACCAAATGTAAAACAAAATATGTTTTGTTTAAGATGCAATACAATTCTGTTGATTTTCACATCTGCGTGAGATTTCTGCATCTCCATCATCAGTTTCAGCCCTACTTTATGTAACCAGGTAAAACAAATAGGTACCTGATTTGCATCTTTTCTTCAGGATGCAAATGATTGATTCTTGTTAGTAATTTAATTTAATTTACACAGTTGGTGTGAGTATACACAAACGTCTAGCTTATTATGGTTTTGGTTGCGGGTGTAATGTCACTTGTTAGCAGCAGACTTTATGAATTGTTCATCAGACAATTTGAAGTAAAAATAGCCATGCTGACCTGGGGCCAATGCTACAACCTAATCATGTCCGAACAGTGCTGGGAGCACTCGAAATAATTTATTGTTACTCTATTGGTGATGCTTAGTAGTATTGAGCGGAAAAATAAAGTATGAAGTGTAGCTTACAAGATACAAATAAAAAAGGTGCAGAAAATGACTGCAGAAAACCCTCATACCTGCACGTTAAAGAAAGTACTAAATGAAGCTGGGATTAACAGAGAACACAGGACTTAAAATAAAAACGGTTGCAAAATGAAAAATATTCAAGTTATGGAGCAAAAATAGTCTTTTGTTACGTGACTGGTATTATATTATAGTACAGTATTATAATACTAGCATAAAGCTCCTACCTAGCAACGACTTCAACAAAATGGCGCTTTAGCAGCACTATTAGCACTAAACAGAGACGTAGCAACGCAGCTTCGTAGAAAACGGAAATAGAAAAAAAAATTTGGCAGTGGCGCATCTAAAAGAGGGCAAACATGACGTCAGCAACATCGCTTCAGTTTCGTAATAATACAGTTCAATTAATTACCGAACATCTGGATTCTTCACTCATGTGGCCATAAGGTCGTCCTCTCCGACACGTCTCGGCTCAAAAATGTCCGACTCTTCCGTTTTACCAGTAAGAGTGACAGAGTACGTAAACAAGATGTTTTTTTTTTATAAACTTCTGGTACTTTTAGCGCTCTCTGTTACGACAGCACCACACGCCGACAAAAACAAGAATTACAACCAGTAGGTGAAATAAAAGCAAAACGGGGTTTACAAAATAGATATTTACAGGTACCCATTTGTTTTACCTGGTTACATAAAGTAGGGCTGAAACTGATGATGGAGATGCAGAAATCTCATGCAGACGTGAAAATCAACAGAATTGTATTTTTTATTTATTCATTAGGATGTAGGAGTGGTGTAACTTCATACTGTTATGAGGTTTTCCACATTTTTCGTGATCGGCTGACATTTGGATAACCGTGGAGGTTACTGAGACCGTCATGCGTGTCGGCATGCTTTTATCATCAATGAATAACAAACATTGTCACTTCAAATTGGATTAATGTACTTACATCGTACGGTTCTACTCGCAGCACGTCGCGGTAAATCTATATTCTCCTCCTCGTTTTGTCTTGAATTGTTTGTTTTCCCCCAGGATATCTTTCTGCTAAAGGTCAGAGAAGAGCTTTTACAGTGACAGAGGATTGGATGTGTGGCCCACACAAGTTAAGCACTGTTCATTATTGATCTGTGTGTGCAGCAGGGTGTTACTGAAGTAGATAACGCCGAGCCTCTGCAGAAGCTCATACATAACCGGAGCCCAGTTTGACACCAGAGGAGAAAATCTATGAACTACTTCATATAGTCAGGAACACTTGACTTATTTCTTTGTACTTGTCTAAACCGCCCAGCTTGATTGGCATGTTTTGTTTTGTTTTTTTTTAACCACAGACACAGACATAGATATGAAATCCCCAATTTGTGTTGTGTTTGAAGCAGAACAATTACGTAAATAAATCCTACAGGTGGAACAAAAGTGATCAAAATAAGCTCAGAAGCATTGCCAAAAATGGCTGAAGAACTTGTGGACAGAGGCAGCGCAGCTAGCTTCAACACAAATCTAGAAAAGTATTAGTTTAAAACTTGTTTTGTTTTTATTTTTCTGCACAAAAATTCAGAAAATATACCAAAAAAATAACCATGTGTTGTCAAATTTAAGGTGTGCAAGTAAAGTGGTAACGTGAATATTTTTCAGTTTCCTCCTGACTGGTCTGCAGGTCTCTCCTTTCCTGCCTCAGTCAACTTTTTTTTAACGCTTCGTTATAATCTGCAGTGAATGGGGTTTTTCCCTGCCTGGCCAAGTGGACGTCTGATGAAAGTGTGTGAAAAGTGTTTCCATTTCACACTTACTACGCAAAACTTGAAAATACCGCTTCACTTAACTCTGGTGGTTTTGCATTAAAAAAAAAAAATATATATATATATATATATATATATATATATATATATATATATATATATATATAAATCAGTTGAGCATTAATCATTGTGAATTTTTAGGATTTAGCATTTATTGATTTTTTTTATGGTTTTGCGGCCCTTTAGTATTTTTTACTTGACATTTTTGGCCAAACTGTTATCAGACTCTTGAAGAGGGTTTTGTTGGGTGAAGTTGTTTTGCCTTTTACCGAAGGATTTCCCCATTAGCTATGCATGACGTGCTGCGCGTTGCACTGGACGCTTACAAAACAATTATTTTTTTAAAATCCAGCAGGAAGGTTAACTCAGATCTAATCTAATGATTGCAGGTCATGCAGGAATGCTTCCCTTCAACAATTTGTTGACACGTTGCTCGTTCCCTCAGACGCCCTTTATAGTCCCGACTTCCTCTCTTTCCCCGCCGCCGTTCGCCTTCCTGGTGTTTCCGTGCTCTATGTGTGCTTGCAATATGAAGAGGTGAAAAAGGGCATCGCCAGAGGGTGACAACTTCATAAGCGGTGATCGGGTTCGATCACACACCGAGTAAAAAGCCAAAGTGCCGTCAGGGGCCGGGCTCGGCTTTCACAGGGGAGACTCTGCATGTCGACTGGGCTGACGGGTGAAATTCCCCAGCAGTATTTCAGAGACGGCAGAAGCCTCGGCTGGCCCCCCTTTCAAGCCCCGCTGACTTTGCCTCTGTGCCTCGTTTTCATCAACTCAATGGCATCACGCAATCAAAATGGAAAACACAGATTTCCACATTTGTTTGCTGGAGATGTCAGAATCCACAGCTGGTATCGATGAACTGGTTTCTGCATCGTTTCCCTCAACTCCTACCTGCTGCAGCCGCCTTTAACTTTACACCTTTTCTAAACTGTCCCCAATCCATTCGTCACCCATCACTTCCCTCTCGCATGTCCTGATTCCCTGCTCCATTTCTGGAGCGTACACCGGTGTAAAGCGAGAACGTCTCAGTTCTGTCTCTCTCTCTGTCTCTGCAACCTTGTTTTTCACCTTGTCCATTCTGTTTCCCCCTTTCCTTTCCTTTTCTCCCCTTCCTGTTGTCTCCGCCAGCCAAGATGGCAATGAGCAGCATCCTCAACGCCGATGACATCAAGAAAGCTCTCGACGCATTTGCAGGTAAAAACAAAAGAAAAAAAGAAAAAAATAAACACTTGAGGTGGATCCGTAAAATCCAGCTTGGATTCCTCATAACCAGGTCAAACTTAAAAAGAAGTTTTGTTTTTAAATTTAGTTTGAAACACTAAAGTTTTGTGTGCGTGGCAGAAACCTTAGCGTAGGATTACAGTTTCAGGTTTTGAATTTTTATATACTCCTTGCAGATTTCAATTTAAAACCATTTTCATTCAATCAGTGATTTTGTTTTTTTTCCTCACCGCACAGATTCTTCATCAGGTTCGCGTCAGGAATGTGTTTTAACATTTCCCATTTGCATGTTAAAACATGACTTTACACCTAAATCCTTCCAGGGGTCAGAATAACTCTGGAATTAACTAAATGTTTTTCTGTTTTGTCTTTTTTAATCAATTGAGTTTGTAGCAGAGAGGCCTCCCTGCATGAATGAGCGATAAATTATGCAAAGGCGAGTCTTTGGTACTGGAGATGTATTCTGAGCAAATAAAAATTGTATTCATGTCTACTTTTTCTTTCAAAAAGGACACAGAAGGCTTTTAGTTTCTCACATAGAAATTGTGAGTGGATAGTTTGTCAATTTAATCTACCAAACCATATAATAATAGAGTTATTTAAAAAATAGAATCATGTTTAAAAGAGGGAAGCTTGCTGCTCAAAAATCTGCTCCAGCCGCAGGTTCTTCACCTTCACGGTGTTAAACGTTAAGGGCTTATTTTTATTTTCTGTCAGCAAATATGCTTACTTCTGCATGCTGGTTCGTATTCCACCTTATCTTTGTGGACCACACGTCCCGTTCTTGTCGTCCGCGTTAATTTGCAGACGCGTTCGGCACGGGAGAAAACGTATTACGAAGCCGAACCACACGTGAGACGACATTGGGAGTTCTGGTGTTGAAGCATTTCCTGTGTCTTGTCTTTCTTCCTGAAGTTGCTGACTCGTTCGACCACAAGAAGTTCTTCGAGATCGTTGGTCTGAAGTCCAAATCCCCCGACGATGTGAAGAAGGTCTTCACGGTGCTGGACGCCGACAACAGCGGCTTTATAGAGGAAGAGGAGCTCAAGTGAGAAAAAAGAAAAAGAAACGCACAAACCTGACGGAAAAGCTCAAACCTATGGAGTGAAAATAGTCTCAAATATCTGTGCGTGAGTGTGGAATTTGCAACCCGTGTTGCATCTTTGTGTGTAACTTTGGATAGTTGTATCTGTGAAACGTGATTTGTAAATCGTACAAAGAAAATACACAGGTATTTTGAGACTATTTTCACTCCGTGCAAACCCAGCTGAAGTCAGAGACACTCTTCCTGACTGAATCATCTGCTTCTTGTTTCGCCAGATTCGTCCTGAAGGGTTTTGCCAAGGATGGCAGAGACCTGACAGACAAAGAAACCAAAGCGTTTTTAAAAGCGGCTGACAAGGACGGAGACGGCAAGATTGGAATCGATGGTAAAAATGAAACGTCTAAATCTGACCGCGAATGTCTAGGGCAGGGGTCACCAACTCCAGTCCTCAAGGGCTACCATCCTGCAACTTTTAGATTCACCTCTGCTCCAAAATGTCTGAATTCCCTCACCAGCATTCATTCCTCTCTGCAAAAGTACATTATAAAACAACAATGTGCCTGAAAAACACATAATACTGTCCCTTTAATTAAATGTTAAAAGCTAATTGTTAAATCTTGGTGCAAGATTCAAATTCTCCTAGGTGTGCTGAAGTGGCGCAGGGGTTAAGCACGGCCCACATTAAGGAGGCATTAGTCCTCGATGTTGCAGGTTCAAATCCTGGTCCTGGATCTCTTTCTCCTTACTTTCCTGTCTGAGCCAAAAGAAAACTTTAAAAACAATCAGTTTGATGAGAAAGAGTAAAAAATTCGACTTGTTATCCAATCACAGCTCATAAAGCAGTAAACACACCGCCTCCTGCTTCTGATTGATGGATGTGACGGTTTGTGGTCCTGACTGCTTTCTGTTTCTCCAGAATTTGCTGCCCTTGTGAAGGAATGAACAGCCGCCCATCGCCGTGACGGATCGCCTCCCAGCCCTCACCATCCCGACTCCATGCTCACCCCCTCCCCCACGCCTCACTGCAACCTGCACCCCCCCACACCGACCGACCAACTGAGGCCAGAACCCGCTTCAAGCGCTCCTTCCCTTCAACCTCAGCCTCACTGCTGTCTCCACAAAGTGAAATGCTGCAGTGAAGTCGGCTGTGCTACGCAGCCCCCCACCCCCCTCTCGTCCCGCACCGCAGTTTAATAATTTATCCTGTTTTTTATACAAACTCTTCACGTTTCTGTTCATGTATAGATAGGAAACACTCCTGCAACTAAAGTTTGTATTTTGAAGCACATGTAGATATTTACAGAGAGCATTTCCTTCGTTCTCCTGACCTCACCGTCCGTCTAATCTGCCTGTTCTCGTTTCCTTCTTCTCTCTGTCGACGTCACTGAACCTCCCCTCCCTCTTCACCATCATCCCATCCACCCAACTGCTTTCCATCTATCACTTTATCCCCACCGATAATGAGCTGTTGTAAAAAAAACAAAAACACAATGATGGCAAAAGTCAAGCTGTGAAAGTAAATAAAGGAGTAATACAAAAAGCCTGGACAACGTCTCTACTGATATGCTGGGTTTATTTCTTTTACGTTCAATCTACAGTTCAAGATTTTACACTCACTCAATCAACATCAGGAATAATGTCGTACAGAACTATAAAAATTATTAAAATCAACCTTTGGGTTAACAAGATTTTCTCCAATTCACACAAGCTCAAAAATGTCCATACACCCCTCAATGAATTTTGAATAAATGTCTCTGAGCAAACTGCAGAGCAAGCAGGTTTTGTAGCCATCCTGGTGTAATTCATCTGGATATTTAACCTGCTTTTGTTCATAAAATGGATCAAAATCATTTAAATTGGGTAGTTAAAATGATTTTTAAGTATAGTCTATCAATTTTCTTTGCGAAATCTAGGGTATTTTACAAGTGTTTTTGTTTTTATCGTCTCCTAACTTGTTCTCCGTCTTGTTTGAACAACCAGAATCAGCTGATTAAGTTAAAAGGTTTGAAAGACACTTTTTGATTCTTGGATTGTTTTGGATCGTTTTGTCCAATTTTTGTTTCAAGATCATATAAAATCCCAGTAATCTAAATTCAGGTTTCTATCAACATTTTTGAAAAATATTTGGAGTGAACTAAAAAAAAAAGAAAAAAAAGCCTAAGGTCTAATTAATCCTGCAAAATCTGCAACCGGATTAGGCAAATATCCAGCTAGAATTACACCAAACGTGACTTGCTAACCAGTATTTAGCCACATATTTTTAAAGGTGTTATGTATATTTTGGAGCTTATTAGGACTCAATAGAGAAAAAACACTGAATAAACTCAAACTTATGCACCAAATTCACCTTTAAAGTCATTTAACTTGTTTGCCATCAAGCCATTTTGTGCTGAAAACATCGACTAATCATTAAAAGCTCAAAATTAGCACTGGGAGTTTGTGTTGACTTGCTTCTGGTTTTCTTTCACCTCCTTCTGCTGTTACTTAGAAAGCACAACAAGAAGCGCACTTAGGCTGGTTATAGGTGCCACTTTGTTAGCCCTCATTAGTAAAAGACTCCCGGAAAACAAGCAGATGAAGTCCCGATTTATGAATGTACATTCTCTGCTGAGGACGAGATAAAAAGGCCACAACATCCCAAGTAGCCGGAGTCTTTCCTCAGAAGAGCCAGGATGCTGTCAAGCCATTAGCACAATTGGATTCACACCAAGGTTCAATTTAGGTTAAGTATGCCCAGTGGAGGACCCAAATAAGCGCCGCAGGAATCTTAGATCTTTTTTTTTTTTTTTAGTAGGCCATTGTGGTGCCTGAGCAAAAAGATCTGAACTGCACCGACTGTCAATAAATTCACTACTTGCTCCAGCGCACTGTTAAACGGGGAGCCATTGACGACTGGGACCACAAAAATGAGAGGTTATTTCTTAAATAGCGATAAAAACCTCCCGCTATGCTACATTAAACTCCCATTAATTTGCTTCATTAGAGAACGAAAACAAATGCAGCAGGCTTTATTAATATTCCCAGAATTTAGCAATGAGGAAGACATGATATTTGGACGTAATTCGCTTGAATTTCAAATCAGTGATCATCCCAGACAGATGGCATAACACCAGAGTTTTTACATGATCTGCCTCGGGTTCCATTATTTTCTAGAAGTGCATTCGCGGCACATTTAATATTTAGCGACAGAACTATAATCTCATCAGGACATGTAGGTATAAATGGAGCTGCAGATGCAGGAAGAAAAAAATCAGGAACAAAAGAGAACTGATATAGAGCTGTGAAACGACACAAGCTATCTACAGCTAAATACATTTGAACGCATATGATTCCCAAAATCGGAATAGATTTTTTTTTTCTTTTTATATTTTTATCATTTTGAAACCACAAACTTCAATGTATTTTACTACGACTTTATGCGACAGTTTATGGTCTTTGTTTCAAACTGTGATTATTGTTTCATTGTTCTGCTGAATAGAACCCAAACGCAATCAGTTGCCTTCAAAAGTTGCCCAATTAGTAGGTTGGAGAACATCGAGGAAGAACGACAAACACCAGAAGGTGTAAGAAAGTAAAAAAAAATAAATGAGGGGAACAAAATTTAATGAACGTGAATTAAATTTTTCTGAATTTTGCTGGGTTTTTCCCCCCCAGTCATTATTCTAAAATGTGTTAAAATAACTTACTAAAGATGGAGATAGAAACAACCTTTATTTTTCAAAAATTGGGGAAATTCAGGAAACCGTTATTTGCCGCTCTTATTTCTTTGATTGGCTGCCAGAAAAATTTGTCAAGTTGCTTTGCTACTCAAGCTGGAAAGAAAGAAGGAACTGTCCAGCAGCATTGCTCTGATGCTACTAAAAACAAAAAAACTAAACCATGGAGAATAAATACAATTTGATAGGATTGATATAAAAGGTATTACTTTTTTTTTATCACAACTGTGGTGAAAAAACTCACTGCCAACTAAAATCAGAAGACAAGAGGCAGCATTCATGCTAAATCAATGCAATAATTACTGAATGGTGAATAAAAATTAGAAAAATAAAATGTAAAATTTAATGTTTCTTTACAAATTTTGTAGTAATGTTTGGGTTTTTAAAGTGAGTCACAGGCCAGGAGCCAATGCTGTTTGAGGAACCTCTCGCTTGGACCAAAACATACTGTTTCTGTGGCCTAGTTAAAGTCCAAACCTAGATTTTAAAACTGATGTTCGCAGATGATGCAGCATTTTAATTCCACGTCACGTCCGTCCGATGAGAACCTCCTCAAAAATTACAAAGTGTGCTCTGTCTTACACATACACTTTAAATCAAACACATTGACGTTTGTGCTTGTAACAATACAAAAAATTGTAAAAAAAATAAAAATAAAAACCCCACAAGAGGTATTAAAATTTTAAAAGACTAACTGCTTCACTCATTCACATGATGATAGTTGTCAAGTTGATCTAACATCTGGTTAAATTAATCTGCAGGAAAGAATACGACTATAAGAAAAAAAAACAAAAAACAAATATGATGTATTTTTGTTTTGTTTTTGGGTTAAAAGGCATTATTATGGCACACAGATAATGCTGTGGTTCAATAAAACAGCCATCACCAATCGTCCACCTGTCAAACTAAACGGAAACGCCTCTTCCCTCGTCGAGAAGTCATCTCCGGTATAGTACCGGAGCAGATCTGTCGTTGGTGTGAGTGGGCTTCAGCTTAACCGTGGCGAACGGATTGGTGCCCCTGAGGAACGCGAGAAGAAACAGAGAGAGAGAAGTGAGAAAAAATAATAAAAAAGAAACAGGGTGCACCTAAAAATAATTGCTCCTGAATCTGGCCATGCAGGGGGGGCCACAGCCAGAGACGAGCGCGCTGCGTTTCAAACGTCGTTTAGTGAACTGTTCTTCTGAAGTTCCCAAACGTCTGCGGCTGAAATGGTTTCTCTTAATGGAAGAGCAGTCAGTCTGTGCCGCTAAGATCAGTGTCCCCCATCTATTGCTCTCAGATTTAATGGGTTCATGATTCACCTCAGCAAAAATAAAAAATAAAAAATCTCCCTTCCTCCAGAGGAGAGGAGAGTGTGATGAATTGGCTTCGTTTTAACAGCCGTTCTCCACTTTCAGAGCGAGACTGTGACTGTTGCTCTTACCTCGGGAAGAGTTCGTTCTGCGATCTTCCTGACTGCGACTTCTGCAGGAAGAGTGGAGAGAGGAGGAGAGGTTAGCGAGGGCCGGCCGGGAACACCAACAGAGGCGGCACACACACACACACACACACACACACACACGCTAATGGAGGCTCAGCTGCCCTGTCGCACTCCTGATTTTAATCTGTCCTCCTGCAAGTCGTGCACCGACGTGCAAAAATGCAAAATATCACTAAGTTTTTGGTCCAGTTTCTAGTGCAAATATATTAGCACAACTTGAAATAAGACAAAACTAACATACAAGTAACTTTACATCAAGATATAGAAGTAAATAACTCCTTAATATTGATGAAAAAAATGTACTAGTTCCACTGATTATTTCTTTTATAACAAGATGTTTTTCCTATTTAATAAGTGAAATAATTTGCTAGTGCAACTAGCGTTTTTCATCAATTTTAATGTATTACTGATTAAAAGCAAAGTTATGTCTTAATTTTAAGTTTCTTGTCAGTTAGTTGTTTTATTTGCAAGTGTACAAAGATATTCATTTTCTCATTTACATCGTTAGCTTGGTTAACTTTAAGCTAAATGTGCCTCTTTGACGGCAGATTTACAGCTAATTGAACTTCAAGACGGTCGTTGTAACAACATTGACACATATAAGGATATTTAATCAGCTTATTTGTGTGGTTGAGTAGCGAACAGCATCACACAGTGGAAACCAAACAACAGCACACATCTGCAAACCGCTGGGCTCACGTCGTCAGCAGCTGGAGCTTCCGCCCTGCGTCCACCAGAACGAAGGCTGAGGAGTCATTGAGAACAGGACTCTGCCACAGTGCCCCTGGTGGACAGACGGGTGAAATACAGCTACAGTTCATGTGAGGAACCCCATCCCGGCCACCGTATCTATCTGCTAGTGGTGGGGTTCACGGCTCTTTTTTAAAGCAGGGTGTCAAACTCGTTTTCATTTCTGGCCTCATTCAAAGCTATAAATGTTCTCAAAGGCAGAACGTATTAATAAAACTACAAATGATATTAGTTATTGAAATGAAAGATGACATGAGTTTTGGATGAATAATTTTTTGCTCCTTTTGTTTATGTCCCAGCGAGAGTGCTGCTTATAAGTCATTCCCATAAGGTCAAATGTTGGACAGGGTCATGATGGAATAACAGCATCCTGTACAAGTACCTCACTTTCCCCTTGTGCCTGTTTTCTTTCTCACCCAGTAGAGTTGCAAGGGGGGATCTTTTTTATGGTTTTTATTAACCATAAAACTGCGCAAACTGTAATCATAAAACTGCGCAAACTGTAATCACAAAAATAAATTCTCTCAGTGGAAACACGACAATTTGAAAAAGCTCACGTTTTTGTGCTAGGATGAGCTGGTTTTTCAAGATGTACTTCACAAAACTGCAATGAAAACGCTTTTTTGCATCACACGAGTCATGATAAACAGATAGATGTTACTACTGACAGAAACGACAAAGAAGACGACAGGAAGTGGTAGGAGAATGACGATGATTTGTTTTTGGACAAAGTTCATAAAAAGTTGTTTGTGTCATTCGGACGTGTTGAATCAATAGCTGTTCTGTGAAATTAGTGGCTACAATTTTTGTGATTTTAATTTAGTTTCTTATTTAATGGAAACATCTCATCTGCAAAATTGTGTTTTTCTTGACATCAGCAGATTATCGACAAATGTTTGTGCATACTTGCTATGGAAACGCAACTACTGCTATTCTTGCTTAGAGTTCGTTAATGCAAGACAACTCTCCTCAGAAAACTAAAAACAGATAAATGTGCAGAGCCTTATAAAAATACAAAAATTCCAAAACTAAAAAAAAAATAGTTGTGAGAACTCTTTTTAGCTTAAAAATTTTCATTTCCAAATTCATCCGACACATCAACCATGGTTCAGAGTCGTGTCATTTCTGTACAGAGTCAAAGTGGATCCTTCAATATCATCCCTGTCAGTTTCTTTAACGATATCGCTTCACCAGCAAGACGGAAACAAACATGGCGGATCTGAATTTCATCATCTAGAATCAATACTCGTTCCGCATGAATTGTGTTAGTAGATGCTCGATGGTAAAAAAAAAAAAAAAAAAAAAGTTTAAACAGGCGAAAACACAAAAACAAGCCCCATCCCAGGCTGGCTGATGACATTTTAGAACTCAACTGTGGTAAAATGTAAAAGTTAGTCATCGTCGAAGCGCTTGCTTTAGCCGTTTCTGGGTGAACTACTGCTTGTATTCTTAATGGCTTTCTGAGTAAGACGACATTTCCGTCAGACTCACAGATGAGGACTGTGTGGGTGGAGGAGGCGGAGGAGGTGGGGCTCCACTCCTGCTGCTGCTGCTGCTGCTGCTGCTGGGTTTCGGCTGGTCGAACATGCTGCTCATGGCGCTGCTGGTCCTGCTGCTGCTGCTCACTCCTGGTTGGTCCAGCAGGTCGCTCATGCTGCTGCCGCTCCGTAGAGTGTAGTTCCTGGGTGAAGGCGAGAGAAATCTCAACCCAAAAGACGTAAAATCTTCCGCGTTTAATGGTCGCTAACTCTTAGAAATCTTAAATATGAAAGTCATTGTATTGTGACAGAGGGCTTTGAGCCTGGACTACTAACAAAGTAAAGAGCTGCTCCCAAACACGTCGAATTTGTCACAAATTTAATTTTGTGTATATGTTTGCTGTGTTCGTGCTCAAAGTAAAATCGCTAAGCAGCTTTTTGTGGGTTCTCCCACAGCTGTGGGTCACCCATATATGGTAAGTAGTTCATTTTATCCATCCAGACTCAAGTTTGAAACTGACCCTGTTTTAAAATGATTAGCCCCCAAAAATAAGAAGAAGAACAGCCTCGGAGCAAATGAACATGATCTGCTTTTTAAAAAAAATATTATTATTATAATAACTCCAGGTTAACCTCAGGCCTTTCATTTAGCCACTTTATCCAGTTGTGCTTATTTATGAAGTTTTTGTTGATTGATGAACACGTTTAGAAGCAGTTATAGTTTTCCTGAGTGATTTTATTTCTGCCAGCTTTGTTCTTCTTTAAAGAAACACGAGTATTTAGCGGATTTTAGCTAGCCGGGATGTTTTCTCAGAAATAAAGAGTAACCTGCAATAGGATGAAATTCCTTCAGCTCTTGTGACTTTTATCCTTTTTAACTTCTCCACAGGATGTGGGTTTAGATAAAAGACGCCCAATCGATGGCAAGTATGAATTAAAGAAGACGTTGAATCAAAAATTGCTTATAATAAGAGATGTGAGCACATTTGCAACATTTTTACTTTATTTTTCCTTATAGCAAACTTTTTTATATATATAATTTTCAATTATATTGTGTTTCACGTACACCATATAGCCACAGTAGCTCCAACACATCTGCGAAGGCTTTCTACAAGGTTTATGGGAACTCTTTTTAGAAGAGCATTTGTGAGGTCAGACACTAATGTTGGACAAGAAGACCTTGATCACGGCATCTGCGCCGATTCATCCCAAAGGTGTTCTAAGAGGTCACAGTTTTCTTCACACCAAATTCATCCTTCATCATTTTCTCTACTGACTTTTATTTTGTATATTGACGTGCGGCCATTTTGAAACAGGATCCCTAAACTGTTCCCCACAGAGCTGGAGCATGAAATTGTCCAAAGCGTCTTTGCGTGGCAGCGTAAGCCTCAAAAATCTATGCTTAACTCAATGTATTTTTTCAAAAATAGTTTTATGATCATTTTAATGGTGGAAAGGTTATTACCAGGAGCTGGACGACATCGGAGGATCATCAACCTCTTCTACGTAGGAGGCTGGAAACCACCCCTGACTGAGAACGAGGACAACAGGGAGCAAAGATGTCAACCAGGAGGTAAGCATTAGTCTCAAGAGTGGGTGACGCCCCTCCACCCACAGCTCAGCTGCCGCCCCCTCACCCTGAGCCGTTCTCGGCGTATCCGTAGAGCCAGCCGTTCCGGGGCTGCCGGGACTTCACAGTGATGATCTGCCCCTTGGAGAAGGGCAGCAGGGTGGGGTTGGAGTTGGAGGGCTGGTGCGGCGCCTTGGCCCTCATGGTCACAGCTCCGCCGCCGCCGCCGCCTCTGGAGCGATAAACGCTTCCCACCGGGGATGGCGCTGCGAAACACACACAGAGAGCAGTTTGCTGGAGCAGAAATCTAGCCGATAAAGAGCAGAAATTATGCACCGGAAGATGTGAACGGCTGAGCTTTGTTTTTAATTCCTGCTCAAATTTGCATGATAAAGTTCTAATTCATTGTTATTCCTAATTACATGCATTAGGACTCTGAGCTGACTGCTAAATCTGCATGCAAATTTCCTTTTGTTTCAGCAGCGGGAGATGCAGATAAATTGATTGTGCTCAACAAGGTGCCATTTTTTCCCCCTCCTGAACAGAGAGCCGACTATGACGAGGAAAGGTGTTTAACATTGTCGAGATCGCTTTTAGGCTTGTTGATTTGTCATTACTGGGTCAAATTTTATTTTTTTATTTCCTTTTTTACTTTAGTTAAGAGAGTTAAATGATTAGACAGTGGTTCTGCAGGAAGGGCACAAACCAGGATGCGGTTTTCAAAACTACAAGGATGAAAAAGACTGAAATGATTATGAGCTATCAGATAAACTGATTTCCACCAGCAGTGCTGCCGACTGCAATTAATTACAAAAAGGTTAAATAAAAGTGAACTTTTGAAGAGGTTCATCTATTGGGAAGTCTCTCCTGGTGTCTAAAAATGCAGAGTGATATTTACTCCTCCATAAAATCCACTCACCTCTTGACGGTATCTTGCCCAGAGTCATCTCCTCTCGGATCTGTCTGATGTCCTCCGCCCTCATCCCTCCCTGGAAAAATGTATTCATCCAGCAGTATGTGATGCGTTTGTCAATATAACGGCATCAGAGAGGCATTCCATCATTACAGCTGTTTCCATATTGAAGAAAAACGTCTTTGTAATATATATATTTTTTTACATCATAACCACAATTGTAAATGTATCAGGGTTTTTGTGCGCACAGATTGGAGGGAAAGTGACAAATCCCTGAGTCGGCCTTTGGTTGTAATCCCAGCTGGAAGTCTTTCGGTTTGTAGCTTTACAAGTTTTCTGCACATCTACAGATTTCTGCTCGTTCTTCTTTGTCGTTTTGTCCAATTCTAGATTTGCACCACTCGTTGTTGGAGAAGCTCTGTTACTTTAACTCTCATCTGTTCTCTTTGCTCTTTTAGCTACGACTGTAGCCCAATCTGTGAGTATTTGATTCACAAATTCAAATATTCGTAGTTATGATGGTACAAAGACACGCTGAACATACTTGCAGCTCATGCGCTCAATGTCTCACAGGCTTCATTTCTACTACATCAGTCAAAAATAAACCACAAAATCCATATTAATTCCCTGTTGCTGCAAAGGGATCAGTGGATCCTTTTCACCTTTCAGTCGAGGAGCAGGGTTTAATCTCAGGTTGTTAATTCAAACAGTAATTACAGCTGTCGGGCCTTCAGACTGAGGCGCTGCGCAGCTTAGATTCAGATTTACACATTTTTATGCCGTAATTCTGCTCCCGTTCTCCGGCTGCAGGCTGAATCCTCTCTGTCTCTGTAATCCAGTCTAATTGAATCACAGATCCTCCACTAGGGGGCACCCCTGCAGCTGAAGTCGAAAAATTGAAACTCTTTTCACTTTCCAGAGAAGGATTTAACACGGATTCCCCTCCCCAGAGAATGGTTTTCCTACACCACAGCCTAATTGCTGTAAAGTTTTTGAAGGGCTCTGAGTTTAACCTGGGCAGCAGCTTTGCATAAATGATTCACGGACTCAGCAGTTTGTTTCTCGGCGAGTTGTTGACCCTCTTGAACTCACAGCGTTGTCCACAGCAGCGGGTCGCTGGAGCTCAGCTCGCCTGGTGGCGTCGACCTCCTCCGTCCAGACATCGGTTTTCTGCAGGAGAGGCCCTGAGATCTGTCACATGAAAAAGAAAAGTGTGAACAGTCCGGCACTTCTTCTCCATCAGGCCAAATATAACAGCACTCCTGTTAAAACACCTTTAAAAAAATTCAGCTTTAACTGCAGCAGCATGATTTCAATATAAAAGTGAAACGTTTCATTTGGGAACTCCAGAAAACTGTTTATATTTGTGATGATACGACAGGATAGACCTTTTTCAGGTCTCAATCTCAAATGAATGTTATGCAATGGTCGCCATGGATACGTGGTGATCCTTGTTGAGCTTTCAGACTTTGCCTTTAACCCTCCTGGCCACCTTGCTCACTTTCCAAGATGGGAGAAAAATAAACGTGGCTTCCTGTCAGACTGAAAGTCGGGCCGCTTTGAAGCAACAGGGAAACAGAAAGTCATTCATTACTAACTAGAAGTTCCTAACTCTGAAAAAAAAAATTAAAAATCAAAACACAAATGATAATACGACATAGATCTGGGAGTGCAGCACAGCTCCTTGCCGCCTGAATTGAGAAAAGGAGCAGCTTTGAGCAGTTGTGGAACAGCTTATGATCCCGTCATTGATTTTTGTCACAACCAATTAAATTAGTCAGATAGAGGCTGTGGGGAGTCAGAGTGTGTTTAGTAGTTGTCAATATTGACAATTAGCAACCTCTAAGATAAGAGCAATGAGTAATATTCTGCCAACGCCTGAGCGTCGGTTCCATCTGTGATAAGAAGAGGCAATGTCGCACTGCTATTAACACACGACTGACGTCTGGTTGTTTTTACACAGTAGGATATCAGAGCATCCAACACTGACCTTCTTATAGATAACTATAGATCATGTAAAAAAATTTTAAAAAAAACATGCCCTAAAGATCAAGAAGTGGCAAAAACACAGACTTACTGTTCCACGTGTTTACGTGTCTGGAACAGGTTTGTGCTTAGCACAGTGTGGCCACATGAGGGCAGCGCCCAGACGTCTTATTCACTATAATCAACTGTTTCAACACACAAGCTGTGTGTTTTTCTCTGAGAAATAACTTCAGGTCTGAAGTCTGGCATGGCGAGCGCGGTTCCAACACGGTTTAAACCGTCAGAGCACAGCAGTAAGTGACCATTGTGACCATAAATATGATATTATTCTGTCTGTTTTATGTGTAACTTGTGGCTTTAGTCGAGGTGCCGGCTCATAACTCAGGAGTTCCCAGTGAATGTAAAACATTAAAGTACTTCCACGCTGTGGGGTCATAAAAATGAGTCCAGAGTTCAAACACGCAACCTGTTATAATGCAGTTGTTCTTTCTGTGGAAACTGTGACGCTGCTGTGGGAGCGTCACCGATTCCTGGAACACGCATGGACCATTGGAGCCGTACATCGTCTTTTCCTGTTTCTAATTACAGGAGGCGTCGTTAAGTTGCCATTAGAGTTCGGTTGCTCGCGGCGACCAGAGCAGATCGTCTCAGCTGTGAGCGTCAAAATGTCTCCTTGTACCTTGTTCATGATGAGGCCCAAGGACTGTACGAGGCCGCAGTGTTTCTCAGCAAGGAAGCGGTACCGCCTGTCCTCCTCCTGCAGCGCCTCCTGGTGGCTCTCCTTCAGAAACTGCAGGTACTCCTGAGGACGGACGGTGCAGATATGCATCAAACCCAGCAGCAGAGACATCAGGAAGCGTTTCGCTCCAGTTGAGAAGAAAAGGGGGAAAGAAAACAAGCAGACCTGGCCGGTTCCTCCTCTCCGCTGCCTCTGCTGAGCCGCCGCCGCCTGCTTGTGGACTTCCCTCTCGTACGTCACCCTGCTGTGCTGTGGGACAGTTCGGATCAGATCCCTGCGAATTTCTTCCAGTTCTGATCAAAACGAGCAATCTGACGCACGGTTCTGATCAAAGGTTTACACAAGCTCATTATCGCCACAATCCCACCTTGTTGTTTGACTTGTAACTATTGATTTGAACTTTTTAATAACAACTTCACTGCGTTTAAAGAAAGAACTTGCTTGTCAATCTACATGCTCAGATTTACTCATAGACTACAACCTAACAGGCTGCATGGAAACCAAAGGCTTTCTGAAGCCATCCACAAGGAACTGGAATAATTATGTCTGAATATTTAATAACTACAGCGGAATATCAGGGTCAATCTAAGAAAATAAATAAATAAATAGAATTATGAGAATAAAGCCATAATATTTCAAGAATAAAGTTGTAATATTACCAGGAAGTTGAAATACTTTGATTTTATTCTGTTAATATTATGGCTTTATTCTTGTACGAGCTTTATTCTGGTAATTTTACCACTTAATCTCAAAATATTGCGACTTTATTCTTGTGATACTACGATCATATCCTTGTAATTTTATTTATTTATTTATTTTCTCAGCGTGGCCCTACACTGTAAAAAAAATCAGCACTGTGGTTGACGATTTTTACAAAATTTATTGTTATTTACGAATAAATTCTGTATTCGTAAATATTGAATTTTAACATATGTACAGTAAAACTTTGGCAACCACAGTTGCTGGTATTTTACAGTAAATTAGAGACCTTTTTTTTTTTTAAACAGTGTAATACTCCGTCGTAGATTCCAGAAAACAGAAGTAAAGCTCGCCTTTATATTTAAGTTACATGTCTGATTTGTTATTGTCCAAATTTTCATTTTTCTCTTCTGAATAGTAGATTTAACATTCAGCTAAAACAGTTTGCTTCATAATTGTTCCTGAAAACGGGATCGGATATATATTTAATGTTGGATTTCAAAGATCGTGTCGAAGATGTGAGTCACACTTTGTTGCCACGGTGACACGGCACGCATAGCTTCTTACGGGGTTATAAAAGTGACCAATGAATTAATAAATCTCATCATGTTACTTTATCGTTTTGCGTCTTTGTTGTGACGACATCACTCGTCACATGGACTCTCACTCACTGAGATGTAGTCGAAGTCCATCTGAACGCTGCTCTCCATCACCTGCAGGACTTCCACACTGAAGTTGCGGAACTGGAAAAAAGATCAACACAGTTCGCTTTGGTTTCAACAAAAACGAAAAAAAAAAAAAAAAAAGCCTGACCGGTGACTAAACCAGTAATCTGATCAGCATTGACATCATTTACCACTCCCTCCAGCTCCTTGGTGAGTCTCCGCTGGCTGTCGGCGATCTGGATCAGGACATCTCCTTGAAGATAAGAACGCAGTTTGTTGTGAGCAGATTCACTCACTGATCATTAACCTGCTGCGTTTAAGTAAACATGAAACCACTGGCACGGCTACGTAATCTAATTCAGGCGGTGAATAATTTATTACAGACAAATAAATCTGTAAAATGTTTATATTTTTATGTGAGCTTGTCGTTCAGAGCTTTATTCTCCGGGCAGGAAGTGGTTACTGTTTGATTCTTCATTGGACCTCTGCTCCATCTCGCCTTCTTCTTCAGGACTCTCATCGGGGCATTGTTCTGAACTCGGTACGATTTGTTAGAGCTACATTTAAATAAAATAAAAGCTGCGACAATTTGAATCTTGTGGAGGGTTTTATTCTCAATGTACATGCTAACTGAAAAACAAAGAAGTGCCCAGAAGAAATTGTTGGATTAAATTGGTCGACTTAACGAAAAGGGATGTAAATGACAGAAAGATGTCGGTTTCCTGTTGGTGAGTGATGGTCAGATGAAGATTAATAGGCAGAATGGGGTTTAATTTGATGTAACTCCTCCAACCTCTAGTGATAAAGAACAAGGCAAAGCTAAAACCAAAGTTCTCCACTTATTGGTCCCTCTAGCTTCTCCAGAGTTACGGATCATGACCGAAGCTTTTGGTCAGAAGTGTCAGATACACAGTTTTATTGAACAGATGCATGAAGGCCTTGCATCACCTGGTCCAATTCAAAGAGTGGGAGAAACCTCAACTGGACCGCACAGAGCGCTGACCTCAAGACGACAGAACAGATTTCAACATGTCCAGCAACAGCGTCCGACCTCAGAGATCCTCTTCTTGCAGAATGAGCAAAAAATTCCTATAAATACACTCCTAAGATGGTGGGAAACCTTCCAGTCTGAATCTGCTCCCGAGGTAAAGATTGCGCCGTCGTTATATTAACTGCTGCGGATTAAGAACAGGAAGTCACTGGCACATCTTTTCACCGCAAAATGGTAAGAAAGACAAAAAGAACCTCTCTAAAGCAAAGAGTGGCAGCTTGGGGGCAATCAAGTCTCCATAACAACCATTTATTTCAAGGCCTCTGAGCATATTTCTACTAGTTTTGCGGATATAGGTGGTATACTGTGGTCACTGTTAGCTAATTTGACTTTTTGTTGGGCTCAAACGCCAACAAAACTGTTGCTCTGAACATTTTGTAATGACAGACAGAAGAGAGTCCAGACGCCTGACAAGACTTTCTGTTTGCATTTTGAAACGATTCACATGGAAGATTGATCTGTTCTTTCGCAGTAACTGAAAGAAAACTCACACCTGCACAGCCGGCCTGTATGCGAGGTGTTTAACCTGACATCGTCATTTTAGCTCTGAGCTGGAAACCAGAAAGACTTTCTCTCCCACTACTAAACAACGTGGATTACCTTCTTCTCAGAACAGCTTTTCAAACACATCAAGGGAAATGCGCAGCAACGCGCATTACACATTCACCACCGTGTTTGCAGGGGAGCAATAAAACACGGCCCGAGGTTAAACTTTGATCCCCTCGACGCGGCGGAGAGCCTGCGTTTAATAAATGACCTCGATGACAAACCGAAGGCGTCCCAGCGAAGCTGCGCAACGACGTCACGTACCCAGGGAGCGGGACGATGAGGAGTAGAAAGCTCTCTCTCCGATCTTTGAAAGCGCCGTGAAGTAAGCCTCGCTGCTGACAACAAGGTCTGAAACAGAGAAAAAACAAAAAGTCGTCGTGCTTTCAGAGACACGTCTGCCGTACAGACACACTTTATCATCACAGTCTTGCAATAAGTACATTCATATCTGCTTAAACTTTATCACTTTTTAAAAAAAAATATTTGTAACAAACACGTTTGTTTCAGTTGCACTTTATGTGACAGACGCAAAACTGAGGGTGGTAGGAAAGAAAACATTTTTCCTCAATAAATTAGCTGAAAAGTGTGGCGTGCATTTATTTCCATCCCTTTTATTCGGACTTGTGTAATTAGTGAAAACATCCCACGTGTGTGTTATTTAATCTCGGTACGAATCAAGCTGTTCTATGAAGGCGTCGCAGGCTTCTTGGAAAACATTAATTAACAAACAACAGGAGCAAGCAGGAAGACCAGGGAACGATTCACACACGGAGGAAGGCTGTGAAGACGTTTACATGGTAGACGTCTCTTCCTTATCACCTGAAATGGAAGGGAGCTTTTTGCACTCCATAAATCATGCCTTTACGAAAGAGTAGGAGGAGGAAAATTATTGCTGAAAGAAAAATGTGAGAATTCTTGTTTGTTTATTTGTTTGTTTGTTTTTAAGTAATTTAGGAGCCAAAGCGAAAATGAAGTATTTTTTTTTTTTTAAATGTTTAAGAAAAGTACATCAATATGAAAGAATATGATGTAATAGGTATGCCGGGCCAATCGGTGGCGCTGCAACACCCCCAGAGAATTACACACACAAAAACAATAAAAACAAAACAAAACAAAACAAAAAAAAATAAAAGAGGGGAGCCATTTTTGTTATTTGTGAGAGTTAGACACATGTGGGATAGAAAAAGAGAGAGATGGAGTTATGACATCTTCAATTTAAAAAAAGAAAAGATGTGACTCACACGGAAATATGAAACCGCCATTTTGAAATTCATCCACTCTGAAACCCGGTTTTGAAAAATTAACATTTCTGGTTTGTTAAGACACAGAATTCGTTCAGACTCGCAACCTGAACGACAAAAGATAACTTCTGCAGGTGGCAGAAACCTGAAAACTTCACAACCTGAGTACACGACCACCATGGCGAAACACGGTGGCGGCATCATCATGCTGTTCTTCAGTGGGAACAAGGACGTTGGGTTTGCGTTGATTGGAAGATCCAAATACAGGAAAAATCCTGGTACAGACTACAAAGCCGTTGAGTCTGGGGTTACCCAGTCGTAGCTACGTCTCTGTAGTTTTTAAAATAACCGCAGATTAATCGACAAAATCCGAGACCAATAAAAGCGGCTATGATTACAGTGTGTGATGACTCACTGTAAAGAGCTCAATCAATTGAGTAAACAAGCCATGTTTGAATGGATGTTGAGGGAAAAGCTGGTCGGCGTAAGGTTACGGCTCAGCGGCGCTGCAGGTGGCACATAGGATCTTAATCTATATTTAATGTCTGCCGGTGGGGCCGTTACTGAACCATGTAGTGTTTACCATCTTTTAACTGGTCAGAGCTCTGTCCGTTTATGACTGCAGCTCATTTTTATTTACATATAATGGCAAATTAAACTACAGGTGTTTTCCCGTCTGGGTGAGGATGATGATGATAATGATGTAAATAGTTCCTTTGAAGTAATTGACCTCTAACAGAGAGACAGCAGGTAGACATAAAGAATGTCAGCTTTCTTCCTTTTCCTCCTTCATTTTTTCCTTCATCTCTCTTATAATTTTCCTCTCCTACTTTATTTTTCTCTACTACTTCTTTTACTCCCTTCCTTTCCTCTTTCCTACCTTTTTTGCTTCCTTCCCACCTATCAACCCTCACTTCTTATCAACTTCCTTCATTTTATCCTTCCCTCACGCAAACTTTCTTTTCTAGCTTTAAATCTTGATTTGTTTTTTGTTTTTCTTTTTCTCAGTTATTTATCCCTCCTCTATGACTACTTGTGTCCTTTCCTTCATTCCTTCCTTACCTCTGAAGGCACGGGCAAAGTGGTTTCCCAGTGAAAGCAGTTTCTGTAGACTGGGGTTGAGCTCATCAGTCAGACTCTGTTAGAAAAGCACAGGCATGTATTCACTGAAGGTTTACTTGAATTTTGAAAGACAGAAAGATAGATAGATGGAGAGAGAGAGAGAGAGAGAGGAAAAAAGAAACTTTGAGAAAGTCTGGACTCAGCCACAGTGGGATCAGTAAAAGAACATGTTCTATTCAATCACGCATTTTCTCTGACAACCAAAAGACTCAAATTGTTCTTGGGACGATGGATCGCGTGTGATTGATTGGTGGAAATGGCTCCTTTCTTCTCGCCCTCTAGCTCCGGTCCTGAAGACCTTTTTCTTTTGTTACTCACCGAGTAAATCCCCAAGGTGGAGCGGTGCAGCTGGTCGCCATTAATTCCCGACATGTTCACATCCAGAACGGCGCGGCAGTCAGTAGAAAAGGAAAAACAAAACCCTGGGGAACGCCAGAAACCAACCCGTCAGTCATCCAGGCGGACCGAGTCAGGCCAGCGGAGGAAAGGCGGGTCGAGCCGGATCGAACCTGACGAGGAGCCGAGGCAAGAAGGCGGCCTGGTGTGATGGAAACCAACACCACCCCCGTCTGAGAAAGACAGGAGTAAATAATTAAACACAGCTAAACCATAAAACACACTGGCTTGGCCCATGCTCTCTCTCTCTCTCTTTCTCTGTGTGTGTGTGTGTGTGTGCGTGCGTGCATGAGTCCAAGACTCACTGTGTGTTTCATTCATTTTATATCAGAGATCTGTTTTCATCGAGTCATAAAAACAATCTAGTTGTTTTTCCCTGCATTTACTATTTTGATCATCAATAAAAAATCATATTTATCACATTATTTTGAGCTGACTAACAGAGATCTCATAAAGCATATCTATCATTCCTTGTTTTGTTCATAGAACTGACCTAAACGTTGCTATGCTCTAGTGACGACACGGAAATTTACTTTTTACGGCTCTGAGAGAAAAAAACACAACGGCAACTAAAGAGTCAGGTTGGATAAAGACAGTCAAAGTGTTTTTAAGTCTTCCACGGCTTGTTGAGCTGGATTTCAATGTGGACTTTGACTGGACCATTCTAAGTCGTGGACTTTGACTGGACCATTCTAACTCATGAATTTTGGGAGGCAGGTGCTCAAGAGGAGAAACGGGGAGTGAGATTTACTGGAGGGACATCTTGAACATCATGTGTTTTAACACAGAAATGTTACTTTGGGCCACACTCTACACAATACGAACACACACACACACACACACACACACACACACACACACACACACACACACACACACAAATGTAGAAGTTTCTTTGCAGAATGAAGGTGCGATAAATATTTCGGAAGGGCACATTTTTCTGCCTAAACAGAAAATCTCAGGAGCTTTAGCACCACCTAGTGTCCATCTATGCACATCACTGATGAAGCTGGTTATATCTTTGCATTTTCTGACCAGAAGATGATTTTTTTTTTTCCTGTATTCAGCTTCAACTTCCTCTTTAAAATTCCCACAGCTTCATATTGCCACCACCATGACTTTTTGAAGGTTTTTGTTTGTTCGGTTTTGGTCTCCTTTAACCAGAGCAACTTCCTCCACGTGTTTGCTAACTTCCTTGCATGACCGATGGAGGCTCTGAACAGGTTGTAGGTTTTCTTTCAACAGTGGAGTCAAAATGTGTTTAATGTTGTCAAATCATCAGTACACAGTGAACCATTAGCCAACCAGGCGACTGCTGTAGCCATTTGGATGTTTTGGATTTTAGCTAGTGGCGTCAGGATAATGGGGGGCAAAACAGGAGTACAGATCTTTTTCAAAAAATTAAATTGCAATTAAAAGAAGATGCAGATCTCCTTCTTCCATTGATCTGCTTTATTTACGCCGAACTTCCGTTTTTTTGTTGTATATATCTTTCTCATATTTGCCCGCATTCGTGAACTCCCTGTGAACTCACTGCAGTCAAGGCGATGCTGCAAGACTGATCCATCCCTCCTTTTTTCCCTCTCTCACTCTCGAAGCCTGTACAAAAAAAAAAGAAAAGAAAAGAAAAAAAGGTGTAAAACCCGTGCAGTGTTTTATCTGATTAGTGGGGGGGAAATCCAAACAGGAAATGAAGCAGCAGCTCTGATAATCGGTTTTGGAGAGCAGCGTGAAGACGGGAGAAGAAGAGACGCAGCGCACAGCAGATGGCACTATAAACCAGAACATTCAACAGGCTCAGCGGACACGATCAGCTAATCTCTTTGTTCTGTAGTTTCTCTGTAGACTAAATTTTATGTGATAAAAAGAGAATCGGTGCTGTTTCGACACTGCTAGCCCCCCCCCACCCCGGTTTTTTTTTAAAATAAAATAAAATAAAATGATTTACAGGATTTTCTGATGCTGGTCCCAATACGCCAAAGCTGCATTCACTCTCCCTCACCTCTAAATATTACATATTTACCGATATGTAATATCGGTAAATATGTATGTAATATCAGTAAATATGTAAAATGTATCTTTGTGTACATTTTACATCAGAGAGGCTCTTCCCTCTGAAATAAGTGAAAGTTAATAAAAGCTTTGATCACTTCTTTTTTTTTAATGTTCTCTGTTGCTGCCTGTTATGCTCAGTCTTCCTTTACAGCAAATAAAGATCCATTAGTCGCTCGTCTACGATCATCTTAATTATGTCCAGACTGGAGGACAGTGAGGATTTTCCCAGCCATCAGTGCCGTTGAGTTTACGTGTTGCATATAAATGAAGGAGGTTTAAAGACTCTGACTGTTTCTCATCAGACTGTTTAATGATTCTCAGCCTCTCTCTCTCTCTCTTTCCCCCCTCCCTCCATCCCCTCTGCAGGTTACAGCCTCTCTCTCCATCCCTGCAGTCTAGTGAAGCCTGGGAGCCCGTGTTAAATCTCCCACACCTTCTTCTCCTGCTGCACCTGTTTTAAATTTCAGCTTTCAGCTCCTGCCTTGATGAAAAGTCTCATCCTAAATCCCCTCCCTCCCTCCACTCCTCTCTTGTTAGATCTAAAGCTCGATTTGAAACAAATTCCTGCCCCCCCCCCCCCCCCCATCTCATCATCATCATCATCGTTTCTTTCTTTAATTACGTCGCTTCATCACGCTAACATACGCTGCGTGAGCCAGGAGAGCGTGGAGAAATTAAACTTCCTCATAATTTACCGTGCACACATTAACGCGGAGTTATATCGATCTCTCGTCTGTAGCGCAGCAGCGGAGCTGATGCTTTTATGTCCTATAAAAGCAGAATTTAATGAGTTGGAAATGCAAATGGCAACGCTCGGATTGAGGTTTTACGCCTCTTCTCGTAAAAGAAGCAAAAAGCACAAAGTTGATTTTTTTTTTCTTTTCTTCTTCTGTTTTATTGACATATTGTGACAGAGTAAAACAATAAAGTTGTGCATCACTGGGAAGTGGAAGGACGAATGATGTGAAAAACGGGGTGTGAGTTTTTTTTCCCACAGCTTTCATTGTGCAGAGTCCAATTTCTTTGCACACACACATTTCTTGTCAGGACTTTTACTAGACCATTCTAACTCAAATATTCTTGGCATGAATCCCTTGAGTTATACCTCCGCCTGTATGTTCAGAGCCATCGTCCTGCTGCGAGATGAACCACTGCTGCTTTCTTTCAGGATGGAGAAGGGTAGAGAGGCATGATGCTGCCACCACCATGTTTCACTGGGGCAGTGCAGGGCAGGGAGTGAATTTGAGGACTTCTATGTAGGCTGTAAAACTTTATTTATTTTGGTCTAATCTGACCACATGTTTGCCGTTTCCCCTACTTTGCTTATAGCAAACTGTAACCACAGGTGAGGATAAACCAACCAAACCATAGCCATCTGTAACTGGGAAACAGGTGGGATATGATTTCAAAGTAAAAGCCCAAATGATAAAAAAAAAAAAAATTCAGAAGTTGGTTAAAACAAGTAAAGTGAATCAATAAGTGAAGATGAGAATAAATAAGCTAGAATCTTAAGAAGTAAAGATATAAATAAATAAATCAAAGTGTAGGTTTGAAACTGAAGCAAAATTCAGAAAAGAATGCTGAATGTTCATTTAATTTAAAAAAAACCCTCAAAAGACTGGAACAGAGCGATCCGGACATGAACCTGGGACCAACATACAGGGAAGTAAAGAAGGATCCAGCAGGGAGTGACCGAAACGGAAAGGCTTAAACACTGAGGAGTGTGAACGCTGCCAAGGTGTAGCCAGGTGGATGATTACAGGGCGGACAGGTAGACTGAGAGAAGATGAAATTTAACAGAGGAGTAACTCGACAAGAACTGACATTATCTAGAACCAAAAGTAAAAATCCTCACAAATAATCTAGGAGAAATAAATACAAGAAATAGAGCAAAGTAAATGGAAAGAAAGGAACATGCGCAGCAAGACTTTTAAGCAACACGAGTGAAACTAAAAAGACCTGGTAAGCAACAATGGCCAAATGGTCAAAATGTAGACAGAAAGAAGCCTAAAACCCAGATATGACATGACTTACTTTCTTATTTTGTTTTTGTTTCCACTCATTTATTTCAGTACAGTCTATTAAAATCCCATTGGAATAAATTGGAGTTGGCGATTGAATTGTGACAGAAATTCTCAAGTTGTACGGTTCTGGTTTGGCTTTAAAGGCTTTGACATGGAGAACATTTCAGAATAAATTGTCTTTTATACATAAACAGGCAAACAAATGAGTAAAGTATCGAATTTGACATTTTACATTTAGTTTTCTCCACATCTGAACTACACGTGATACTGACAGATCGCGACCATAGGCTGTGAAACATGCTCGGAAAAGTGATTTGCACCTATTATCAGAGGATGTGTGCTGTCAGAGGCAGTCCTGCTGTGTTTTTTCCTCCATCTCTCGCCCCCTCACTCGGTCTCAGTATTAATAGGCTGGATCCTGCCGGAACCAGAGGACATGCGCGTTGCAGGAGGAGAGGAAGCGTTTGCGCGGTGTCCCAGCGAAAAGAGATGTTTAGTGTCGACTTTACCGTGATCACTTAACTGTGCTGCCAAACTCGTTTTCCGCTCGCTTGTTTTTGTAGAGAGGCGTCAGGAGCCGTTTTCCTCTCTCGGTTTAGGTTCTGATTAATTATTCAACTCTTTGCCGCATCTGGAGCTGTTGCTTTCCTACAGAGAAAGAGTGTTAACATTTCGGGGTTTTTCTGGAAATTGATTGCTCCCCGCCGCCACCCTGAAGTTCATCGTGGTCATCTTGGCCGCCGGGATGGTGGCCTTCATCGGAGCGGTTATCTGCATCATCGCGGCTGTCCACACCGGGTCCACCAAGGCTGCCGCGGCGCAGCGGCAGCCCGCGGCCGATAACCACTCGCTGTATCCGGACGCGGTCGCGCAGACTCCCGCTGCCGCGAGGGGCTCCGTGGCCCGGCCCGGATCCCTGGGAGCTCTCCACGGTTCTGAAACGCCCGAATCCGAAGCGCCCACCTTCAACGTCGGGCTTGGCGGGATGGACGGGGTCAGCGGACTCACGGGACACGACCCCGCGGTGAGTCGGCTCATCTGCACCCCGCTCCCCGCCGGAGGATGCAACCCCAGGAACTTTCAGCAGCAAGCGGACGACCCGTCGCTGTACGCCGGGGAAGACTGGGGCTACCTCCGGACCACGGCGGAGGAGCTCCGGCAGACGGTTCTGCAGCAGAAGGACCAGATTTTAACCGACCAGAGGACCATCAGGGAGCTGTCGGGGAAGCTGACCGAGTGCGAGAAGGGGCTCGGGGGAAGGAGCGGCAGCCCGGACAGACGCGGGAACGCCGCCGCGCTAAGAGGCGACAAGGGAGCCGAGGGGGAGATCCACTTGGAGAGGATGATGGTGCGGGACAGCCCGGATTCTGCGCCCGACGGGGTCCATCTGCTCACGGTTGGAACTGTGGATGAGCTCGAACAGGCAATCACCCAACTCAAAGACCGCATAGACAGACTGGAGGTAAGGAAATCCCTGAACTAATGAATGAAATCAGTTCTACTGTATCCAACCACAAAAGTCAGATGTAATTATAGATAGTACAGCTTTATCCTAATTATAGTAGAAAACATTCAAAGTCAGTTTAACCTGTGAAAAGGTTTGGAGGAAGCCCTGTAAGATTCAGGCCATCTCAGATCTCAGTCGACAGACTGTTGCTTTTTCATATAGATGCACCAGTTTCACAAAGAGTACCGATTTTGGCTAATACTAATTTCTCACCATAGACTGTAAAAAAAAAAAAATCCAATAATCTTTTTTTTTTCTTTCTTAACGTCTATGTTTAACTACCCTGATTATAAAATGTTTAATAAAAAACAATAACTTCTTCAAAAAAACAGTCCAAGTTTGAAAGCTGCAGTCAAGTCGTCCTGATTTTTACAGCATCACACATTTAAATGTGTCCTTGATTTGAATATTGCTATTATTTTACTCATATTCGAAGCAAAGGCAATGTCACACTGTCTGTGTGAGAGTGCAGTTGTTGTAACACAGATCTGCAGGTAAATATCACTACAAAAGACACAAAACAGATTACAGGTGACATCTTAGACTGCAGCAGAAGGAGATTCATCCAAAGGATACAGCAGAGCAGCTTTACTGTAACATCTAGAACTTCCTGTTCTCTGCTGACTTCAATAACAGTCTGAATCAAAATCCAAGTATTCATAGAAACTTCAAGGAGTTTTCTTTCTTTCTCTGACGTTATTAACTGCCAACACCTGACTGATACTGGAAATATCTGCCTTCTTACCTCAGTAGCTACTAAAACTCTGAAGAGTGTTGTTGTCATAGTCTATAAAGGCCCATGCCTTTATAAACACATGTTCACTAGATGTAGCAACCTCTTTTCAAAGAAATGTTGCTTACTGGGAACTTCTTGGGGGCTTGTCCAGGATTTCTTGTTTTGTCCAAAACCCAGATTTAAAGGGGAAAAGAAAAAACAGGAAATCACGAAGAACCCAGCTGAAAACCGTAACCAATGTGGCAAACTGTTTAACATAACCTTAACCAGTTACCTGGAATTCATACCATGTATCAGTTCAGAAATAAATCACAAAACATTTAATACATAAACCAAGATTCAATGTGTCAAATTAAATATCTTGGTCAGCCGGTCTTTATCTATATTTGACCTAGAAAAATATATTCAAATTGGACTTCTTTAGTTCGTACATCCTGTCCAAAATTAGCCTAGCCAAAATCTTTGAAGGTCTGGCTCGGTTCATCTAGTATTTGATCAGCTCAAACTAAATTTCTACCTTACTTAGACACCAGTAGATGTCTAAAATCTAGACATCTGTTCAGTTTTCAACCTATTTTGGATTTTGCTTATACAGATGAATATTATCGTATCATTTGCAAGTTTTGCTCTGGGTGGATTTCTTGATTCGTTGTGTCATTGTAAACGCAGGATGTGAGCAAGCAGTTAATGACCAAAGCAACTGGACTTTGGACTTACTTAGTTGTTTATAAAATCAAACGTCTTCAGTCTTTGATTAGAACAGATGACTTGACATCAGAAGGGACTTATGAGCTACTCCCAAAGCCCAATCGTCACGGATCAGTAATAATCATGTAATTATGAATGTCACTCAGTGATAATGGATGTTTTAATTGGATTTTTTTTTTTTTCTAAAGGTTGCCATTTTCAACATGGCAATATAGGAGAATAAAATGTCAGCTCTAAAGATAAATGTGGAGTCAGAGGGAGAGAGCAGGAAAAAGACAAAAGGAGCAAAAAATACAGGAGCGCAACATGAAACAAGCTCTGACTTGACCAGGATAGAGTGATTTATAGCTCCGTTTTGGGCAAAAGAAATGCAATGCATAATTCATGGCATGCCTATATTTGTTAGGAGTAACAGAGTGGACGCACGTCCCCGCGGTGTAATACGCCTCCTGCTGTTATATGTGGGACGTGCCTGTGTGGGTCATTTCCTTTGTTCCGTCTGTTTCTCCACGCAGACGTGTAACATCCAAGTTCTGACACTTTTCAGGGAATAAGGAATCCCTTCATTCTGCAGCCTTTTCCCAAGATGCTGTGTTTCATCAACGGTTTTCACAGGTCAGACCAGGTAGTTTCCTCCCTAATCAACACGTTTTCTTTCTCCCGCCGTTTGGTACACAGGAGCTACTTGACCTACTTGAGAAGGATGAAGAGATGTTTTCTATTGGCTCAGATTAAACTGGTCCAGTCTTTTTTTTTTCTTTTTTACATATTTTCCCCATTATGCACCAACAACTCTCAATGCCTTCTAGCACTCATGCAGCGTGATGATTTTGGCTCAACAATAAGATCAGAGCTACATTTAAATTATCCTGCACTGGCCTTGTACATTTATTAACCATTTTCACTAAGCATTAAGATTTGCACAAAATGTTAAACATCATAGAAGTTAAACGCAGTGCAAAGTTTCATGCTTTCTAAATCTGTTTCCAAATAGAGAAGCAGCTACATGACTGGGGGGTAAGTCATGATATTATGAAAGGGGATTTTATTGCTTTTGGTACTGTTAGGAAAGAGAATTTAAAAGTTTCCATCAAAATTAGTTTACTTCTACAAATGCTAACACCCTCTGGTAAATATGCTTAAAGAAAAATCAATCTAAATTTAGTCTTTTACTGCAGTGCTGCTGTGAACAGCTCACAGAGTGATGCTCGGTTCATCAACCAGCAGCATGGCACAACTACTCAGAGATGGATATCAATCTGAACCAACAGGCTGGACAAGGAGAGGATTAATGAAAGCAGCCAAAAGACACAAGGTAACTTTAGAAAACCTGCACAGATCCAAAGCTCAGCTGGTAGAACATTGCTCTTCTCAAACCCAACCTTTATAGGAAGAAAACCACTTCTGGAAAAAAAGTTGATGCATCTTTCCAAATGTCACATAGGGGACACAGCAACCAGCTGCTCAGGTCTGATAAGACCGAATAGGTTTTTTTCTTTTTTTGTGGCCTGCATTCAAGCAATGGTGGGGCTCCATCAGTTCCTGTAAAAGTGAACATGAAATTTCAGAAATGTTAAGTGGAAGTTGGGTGGCACTAAATGCAGGTTTACGCTGGAAGAAAAGCTGCTGCACGAGACGTCAGATGGGAGTGGAGGTTCGGTTTTCAGCAGGAGAAGAAATCCAATTGAAAAACTGAGACTGCTGAAGAATGAGCAAAAAACGTATCACGCTAGTTAAATACAATGGACTCCCAGTGTTCGCAGTCGCTAGTAACCTCCAAAACCACAGCCGTCCGTCAAAATCTAAAACTTCAGAGCGCTTCTTTGAAAAAGAATAAATGTACAATTTGATGGTCAAACACCAAATATCCCTTAGCATGCGTTAACAAGCAGAGCGGAAAATGTCTTCGCAACACCATGGTAGCTAATATCTACTGGTCTCCAATTAGCAAGTAGGAAGGGAAAATGGTGATCCTGGGTTGACTGCTTTGCACCAATAAGCTGGTTAGTGTGTCAATTAGCTCTATGCTTAGGTTTTTCAGTTTACAAAGCTTCATTTAAAAAAAAGATTTTGTTATATTGAAAAAACACACACAAAAACTTCAAGTTGGTGAATCTGTGGATTCTGAGCCACGAATAGCTGGAGGTCCTCTCTCTGTCATGCTGAATAAAAATATACGGATGCAATTTTAAGATGTTTACTTGTTTAATAAAAATATGAAAACCATAAATTTCTCTCAATCTTACAATATTGTACAACGTTTTCTTAGTTTATCACAGAAAACCCAAACAAACACTTTGAAGTCTGTGGCTGCAGTGTAGCAAAATGCAAAGATTTCTGAAGGGCATAAATATTTTATTAAGGCACAGCATTAACACACCTGAATTCACCGTAGTGAAAAGAATGTCTATATTTTCTCGCTGATCGCTGGAGATTTCTGCTGAGATTTGAACTAAAACGTAAAATTTGGTTCTGCGGCGTACAAAATCAAATCTGGCATTGTACAACCAAAACCTCTACTTCTGCGGCATTACTCATACAGGCTGAGCTGCAGTAAGCTCCTGGATGCAGCACCAACGATTAAAACACCATGAAAGTTTTAGAGCGACGGTTTAACGTTTACAGAAAGACACAGCGATGACCTCCCCCTCCTCTCAATCTGTTCAGTATTAAGGTAGATGCCAGTTCCTGCAGCTGCACATTTTCTTTTTAGCAGGGACCGGGAAGCCTCCAACCTGCAGTCTTACTTACAAAACTGCAGATTCACTTTTTTTTTTCTTTTAAGCATATCCCCGATACATAGTGCAGTGCTGGAAAAATGGGATAAATCTACCACTTTTTTATCCTTAGGTTTTAATTTAGAGACAAAAACAGAATCCTAACCGCAGCAGCCAGTTAACAATGCATCAAACCCCACCAAATGCAGCGGCATTACATAAACTCCTCTTGAATAAATCCTTCAGTGCTTGCAGAGACGGCAAAGCCTCAAATTCTGATCTGGTTTCTACCTCCCTCCTCTGCAGACAGACATCGGTCCGTTTTCTCACAACCGCACGGACAGCAAGTCTTCGGACGCATCAGAGGAGGGGAACCCAGAGAGGTCAGCCGGTCCGGGCCGTGGTGCCGGTCCGGCCCGGCCCTGGGGGGTGGAGGATCTGGAAGAGGAGCTGGAGAGGAAGGTGGAGCTGCTGGAGAAGGAGAGGAAAGCCCTGAGGCTGGAGGCAGCAAAACACAGACAGGAAATTGACCAGGGCATCAGCAAACTACAACACCGCATTTCAGGCCTGGAGGAAGGTGAGCTGCAGAAAGGAGAGAGAGAGAGACACACAGAGAGAGACAGAGAAGGAAGTAAATTGTGCGCATATTTAATCGCTCTATTTGATCTGGAGGTGGAGACTGTAACAGAGAGAGCAGCAGTGACTGATTTATTCATTTCACCGTGACACAAATCGTTAGCGATGAGAACCAGATTTCCTTCTTCTGATTTATGACATCTAAGCTTCGTAAATATAATTTGTGCCAAAATAAAAAGCCCATAATTATCCTGTAATGTTTTTTTTAAGATACGTGGAAAATAACTTACTTGTATGTCACTTTCTTCACTCCGTATTTCCAAAGGCGTCACAATGCTTTCGTTCCCGGAGGGGTTCAGGTTGTCCTTCCCGGCTCGGACCAACTACATGTTCGCCCTGATGAAACACGCCGTCCCCAAGCTGCGTGCCTTCACCGTCTGCCTGTGGCTGCGGCCCGCCGCGGCGGGCGTGGGGACGCCCCTGTCTTACGCTGTCGCCGAGCAACCGAACGAGTTGGTGCTCCTGCAAGACCGGAGCGCTCCGGCTGAGCTGCTCATCAACGACAAGGTACGTACGGAACCCGCACAGGGCCGAAAAAGTTACACATTTAACTGAGGCTGGCATCGGCTGGAATGACGACCTCAAGGAAAAATATCACGGTTTGACGTTAAGAAATTTTGAAACCTAAAAAATAGTTGTTTTTTTTCTACATTTATTCTGACTTTACCCCAGCTGTCAGGAAGCGTGAACGTGTCATGTTGTGTGTCTGCTGAGAGGACACAAATGCAGTAGGCGGAGGCGCCGAGGAGAATTTTGTGGATTTGATGAAAAAATGAACAAAGATTTACAATAAACCATTGGAGGACAGGGAGCCAGGGGAGAACAAAAAACATCAGGAACAAACAAAAGCACAAGAAGCCTGACTGGGAACCGGATCTAATGAGAGGAACAGGCAAAGAGTGACAGAAGAAGTGTTTAAGTATTGGGAGAGTGAATGTGGAACAATTCACTACACACCTGCAATCGGGTGTGAGGAAAGAGAGAGAGGGAGAGAGAGAGAGAGAAAGAGAGAGAGAGAGAGAAAATGGCATGGGGGGCAAAGGAGAGTAAACAACGGACAAGGAAGTAAATCTAACACTAAAGATTTACTTTGAGCTGCCCTGTTGTTGAAAATGTGCGATATAAATGAATTGACCTAAAGAATGAGTAGACGTGAGGAACGTAATTAAACTAGAGTTACAAAGAAGAACTAGAGATAAAAATTAAACATAATAAAGTAGAATCACTAAGAAAGAGATGAACAGGAACAAGGTTGATCTGATCAAAGTAAGAAAAACAGAATAATAATGAAACTGGAATAAATAAATCAAACCCCAAAACAACCCAGGATCCTAATAAAACGGTGATGAAAAGTTGGTGGACAGTTTCACAGGAAACCTGCTGATTCAGAAAGTTTTGCCGTCATGTCCTTTCCTATATGCAGGGTTATTTATTTTCATCTCCCATTAAAATTTGTAAAATGAAAAAAAAAACAAACAAACAAAAAAAACATTGAAATGTGGTAAAAACAATTCAAAAATACAAAATACTAAGTTCTGTTTGATTTAATTCATCATTAGCCTTCTCTTTTTTCCATTGACTCTCCTGAAAATGTATTACTTTAATGAGTTTTTAAAATCTCATTATAACAAGAAAGTTTCTCGGCCGCTCCTGAATATATTTCCGAGCTCTGGCAGCTAAGCGCTTCCATACCATCGGCTGTTTAACTCTGATTAAATTCACAATCCTTGATGAAATAAACAGAACGCTCAATCACCTCCTATGTTGTTTACCGAAGCTGTGCCACCAAACTTCCCCACACAATAATATGAGTAATTATTAAAAAAATATATTTTAAATCACAAGCTGTCAAAGCAGGAAAAACAAGTGTGAGAACAAACTGATGCATGTTGAATACAAAAAAAAAATGAACCAAAACCGTAAATTCACACAAAAGCTGATCTTCCCATTGCAGCAACAACAGTAAAAGGATGATCTTTTAATTTCTCTTATCAAGCCTAGTCAGACTCAAAACATTCAAAAACACTCAAAATATCTTTTAAATTGCATGCTATGCTTGATTAGATTCTTCCTCTTTATTCTGCTCACTTTAATCGAAGATGTAGCATCTTTTCATTCATAATATCTTCCTTATTTTACGAGCGTACTTGTATAAAGTTCATTTTTGATCTCCATTATGATTTGAAGTGTTTATCAGCGATCTGTTAATGTTACGACCTCCTTCTAAATGTCCTAATGAATATCGAAGGCCCTCTGCTTTGGATTAACATTAAAGCAATAAGAGAGCGGCAAATGAAGGTTGATACATTGTTCATGTGATTTAATGGAGGATTAAGCTTAGTCCTGGAAAGCATTGTTCGGCGATGCAAAGAAGTGCTGTGATATATATATATTTTTTATTTTGCAGAAGTCATTATGGTAATCTATTCCTGCGGTGAATAGCTTGGAGAGGCAGCAGCAGAACGCCCCTAGCATGAAATGATTGAAGTGACTGATTTAGATCTGGAAATCTCCTCACACCGCCGCATCTTATTTGAGTCCCGCTGAATTATTGTCACCTTTCTATGTAGCTATGTAAAGGCATGCCCAGGTTTCAAACAATCGGCGTAAAACAGCCTGCCACTGCATCGTCCTAACAACACGTTGCCATGCGTAGGTGGCGAAGCTGCCTCTGAACTTCTCTCGAGGCAGCTGGCAGCACGTCTGTGTGAGCTGGACCCAGAAAGGTGGAGCATGGCAGGCCTACCAGGGGGGAAAGCTGAGGGGCGAGGGCCACGGACTGGCCCCGGGACACCACATCCGGCCTGGGGGAGAGCTGGTCCTCGGCCAAGAGCAGGTGAGTTACTCGTATTTAAAGACAGACTAAAAGAAAAAATGGTTTAGTTGTTATTGGTTTCCAAGTCGCTAAGAAGGCTAAAAATAACTTGGGCTACATTCACACTGCAGGTTGAGGTGATATGAATCCGATATTTTTGCTCAAGTGGACTGTATCTCATCTTTTCATGACAGTCTGAACAACTCAAATGGGATTTTTACAAATACTCACTTAGCTCACTTATGGTGCATTCACACCAAACGAGAACTGAGCATCAGGTGCTTCTGGTTCACATTCAATCTATGTGGAGGTGTGTTGAGGGTCGTTGCGGCACGTTTGAAGAGTCTAGCGTTGTGTGGTTTGAACATTTGGAGCGTCAAGAGTCAATATCAACATTTGACGGGTCAAGAGTACCAAACAGAAAACTACGGCCAGAGCTGATGTATCTGACGCACCTCTACATAGACTTTGAATGTAAACCAGACATACGAAAGGCTAAGGTGTAGAGCAAAATGTCAAGCGTCTGCATTCAAAGTACACACATATCGAACTTGAAGCGTCAGACGCATTTTTAACGTATTTGGTGTGAACGCATCATTAGATATGTGGTTCTAAATTCACCGAGTATCTGATCTTTTCAAATGTGTCTGGGTCACGTTCATCAAGCCTGAACGTCATTGATGCTCAAAAAGACTTCACCATTCTGCATCCTGGAACGCAGAAATGAGAAGAAAAATAACAACCAGGGTGGACAACTTTAAAATCGCAAGATACGTTACACCACATTAGCATCCATGTTTACTTCCGCAAATACTGAGCATGCTCGCCAAGTGTGATGTTATTGCGCCCTCTACCACGCATGCGGGACATTTTTAGGTTGTTTGCAGTTCACACGAGAGATCACATACGTGTCGCATATATTTGGAAATGTGAACAACCACACGAAAGAAACAGAGACAAAAACAGAACTGAACATTAACGCCTGCGGTGTGAACGAAGCCTTAGTGCAGGCGTGGGATTTTGTCATTTCTAAAGCTAAAAGAAGAACATTTATGGCTGATTTGCACTTGAGGTTTAGTTTGGGCTAACATGGGATGTTTAATATGTGAATTTTGTTCAAAAGCCACAAACTGTAGGAAAATAACATTTAGAGGAAAAAAATAATCCCCCGCTCTATCGAATCCCGCTTAAACTTCCCCAGAGCCGAGGGGTTGCCCAAGGGAGAAAAACTGCAAAAAAAAAAAAAAAAAAAAACTGTTTGTGTGTGCTTGAGAGTAAAAGTGTTTCTCTTTTTAAGTGATTCGACTGCCTAACAACGATCTAATTCCTTTCCAGGATTCCCTGGGAGGCGGTTTCGATTCGACCCAGGCCTTCGTCGGAGAGCTGTCTCAGGTGGGCCTGTGGGATCGGGTCCTGTCGTCCGCCCAGGTCGCCAGCCTGGCTCGGTGCAGCAGAGTAACTCAGGGCGCCGTGGTTCTCTGGAGCGAAAGCAAGGTGCAGGTTTATGGCGGAGCCACCAAAGACCCCGGGGAGCCTTGCAGTAAACACAGCAAAAGCTCCCAGTGACCGATGGAGAGAGGATCATGGAAAAGATTCAATTCACCAACCAACGCTGATCCAGAATGTCAGAAAAACCATGAATAGCAAGGCGACATAAGAGAGTCATAATCTTAGCAACTTTTCTGGGGTATTTCTGAAGGTGAAACGGCGCGCTGCAACACCACACATTATTTACACATAAATGCAGCTGGAACATTAGTTACTGTGCATCAGAAAATGTTTAAGCTCGGCTTTGCTTAGTTCGAAGTGAAAACAGGAAGATGATTTCAGATTCTCAGCAACCCTCCTGACAATTTGATCAAGAAAAACAGATCTATACTGTACCTACCTGCTAGCTTTTCTGTCGACTTGTTTACTGTAAGCCTGTTCAAATTCAGGGGCCGCATTCTTCAAAGGACACATGCCGGGAAAATTGGGCAGCCTGGCCTTTCAATTTACCACTTACATCTGCGCATGCCCTGTCACCTAGCAACCGTGACGGTGCCAAACACAAGCTAGCAAGAATGTAACTCAAAATGTTCCTGGGATTTTTTGTAATCAGTTTACAATCTATTTGAATCTAATTCATTAATTAGATTAAGGAAGTCGATGGATGTCAGTGGAAGTGCGAAGGATTCAACGTCCTTCAAATCCAGGAGGAAGAAGGATGAACGTCTGAGTCTTTGAATTTGGAGCAGCAGATGTAGCCCCTGAATTTGGATTCAAATGTTCAATTTAGTCGTTTTTAAATTTGAATGTTTACTGTAATTTTATTTTTACATTATCCAGAATTGTGACATTTATAACACTCAGCCTTTATGAAAAACTATAAAATATATTTAATGCATTATAGTCAGAGCCAGCTAATGTTAGCATGCTAATGCTAACATGTGATTTTTAGGCTCATTAAAATGTCTGACAGTAATTCTGCTGTTCTTGTGCCTCATAAATGGGAATATAGAGATAATCAGTAAAAGGTGAAACTGTTTTAATTTTTTTTTCCAACTCCAGCATCAAAGAAATTTTACAACAGAAATTAACTATAGAAGCCATTTTCTCTCTTTTTTTTATTATTCGTACACAAACAACTCCTACAAATTTAATTTAGAATAAAATAATTAGAATTATCTCATGAGTTATATCTAGAAATATCTAGATACGTCAATCGTTTGTGAGATTTTAACCACAGACAGATGAAATGAACAACACTGACCTGTTAGTGTCTTGGATAAAGGATTTTCTTTTTGTCCTCAAACGCAGTGTGTTAGCAGCATTAAAAAATGGCGTTTACATTTTGAACAACTCCGACAAAGGCTAAATTGTTATGGCTAGACTGGGTCAGAGCATCGGCACAACTTCAGCTCCTGCAGGGTGTTCTGGGCTTCTGGTGGTTATTGAAAGGGAAATGGAAAAAAACAACAAAAAAACAGTGCTGAACCAGCATCTGGGTCAGAGATGACAAAGGCCGCATTGATGCACACTGAGAAGAAAACAAGCTAACCGAGACAGAGTGAAGGTTTGGGCAATGATCCTGCTGGGAAACCAGCTTGATTCTGCCATTGATGTGGATGTTGGTTTGACAAGTACCACAAACTGAAGCGTTGTTGACAGACCAGGGACACATTAACACAACTTCCTGTTGGCTATGGCCTTTAAGCAAAGGTGGTGCATCTTGCCACAAAGTGAGACAGGCTTAGGAGCTCAAACATGATGGATTACGACTGTTTTGGCAGCAAAAGGGGGATAAAGTCGCTATTACATGATCTGATTAGTGTGCTTCCCACTACAGTCCACTGTATATCGTATGACAAGCAAAAAAAAACAAAAAAAAAAACAACTCCCTCAGATATGATCTGGTAATAAAACTTTGAAGCTGCTGTTAAGTCAGTCGTTACATGTTTCCAACCAAATCACGTTGTGTATCCCCAACTTGTTATCCTGCTGATGTTTTATTTATATCAATGAGAATACTCAAAAGGAGAATTTTTCAAGTCCCGCGTTTGAAATGCAAAACCAACCAGCTACACCTATCCACTATCAATATCTCTACAGCTGACAATATGTGGAGAGTGAACACTTTGGACACAGTTGGCTAATCAGAACTTGTGAAATTCTAGCACACAGGCTATTAGCTCATTCTCTCTGAGCTAACTGACCGTTAGCTCATTATCTCTGAGCTAACAGGCTATTAGCTCATTATCTCTGAGCTAACCGACCGTTAGCTCATCATCTCTGAGCTAACCGGTCGCTAGCTCTTTCCCTTTGAGCTAACAGGCCGCTAGCTCATTCTCTCTGAGCTAACAGGCCGCTAGCTCATTCTCTCTGAGCTAACAAGCTATTAGCTTATCCTCTCTGAGTTAACAGGCTAGTAGCTCAATTTCTCTGAGCTGAAGAATCACTTTCTAACAACTCTGAATGTCTGAACCTATTCCCCTATCTGTGACCACAGTTAACTAGCTTAACAAATCACTCAGTGGCGCAGAGTAGACTAAGAGAGCAGTGAATTTGCTTATTTCTGTCGTCAGAAGAGACGCACATTGCCTCAGCACTCACTCCATTTTCCAACAAGCGTTTCAGAAGTGTTTTCGGTTTGGTGTCTGTCGAGGTTTAGCAGAAACGAAGCCTCTTAAAGCACAGTGCCAAGGTTAATATCTTAACTTCACGTTTTCATGTTCTATTTTCCAAGATATATGTATATATTATTTTTTTTTTTTTGAATGACTGAAAATAGTGACGCAGCGTCATTTAATGTCTGCACACTCAAAACACCATCCTGTGCTTACCTTCTTGAAAGCTTGTACTGAATCCACTGAGTTCCGAGTCTGAGCCGTCCTCGGCCAGCTGAGAGCTCCGTGTGAGAAGCGTGAAGTTGAATTAGGGGCAAGCTGGAATCCCTCCATTTGTGCATCAGGCTTGGAGTGGTATTATTTAAGGGCTGTGACAGCTTTAGAGCGCGGAGTCAAGGTGAGCCGGTGAAAAAATGTTGGAGAAAGTGTTGGGAATATTAAAGCAGCGGTTGGCAGCCTGGAGTCGATGATGAAAGCTAGAGGAAAACAGGAGAATGATGGAGAAGATGGACCGGATGTGAATGATGTTGCATTGTTTTTCTCTTCTGCATGATGTAATCTAGTACTGATAATGTCTTGCCACTGCAAGGTGTCGCGGACTAGGTCGCTGCATTTTACATTCCTGCAATGTGGCTGTGTTTGTCTTTCTGAGAGTGACTTTTAGTATCTGATGCATTTATTATGGACTTGACCAACTTTTGAGAACTGCTAACCTAAACTCTTCTCTTTTTTTCATTATTAAATATGTGGTGTTACATTACATCAGATATGTATGAGATTGTTGATGAAATGTTCAAAACTGTAAACATAAATTTGCAATGTTTTTAAATGTTCTACATGCATCAGTAGCTGCATTTCCGTTGACTGTATAACTGCAAATTTTGACAAAAACAAGTTTTTTGATTAAAAGTGTTTCGAGTATTGAATCCAGCGTATTTTGCAAAAAAAAAAAAATTCCAATGGAAACACTTTCTTTTTCAGCGTCACACGAGTCGTGATCAATATCCTTTTGTTAAAGGTGGAGAAGACAGGAAGTGATAGGAGGATGATGACGTAGTATGTTCTTTTTTTATCACGTGAACAAACTCGTTTACGTGTTTCTTAATTAAGGAAAACCTAGCAATTGAGAAAATGTTATTTTATTTTTTGGATTAGGGAAACACCGACAAAATTTGCGCACATCCGTAACGGAAACGCAGCTTCTGATAAATATATCCGAAATATTTTCACCATTAAAATAAAACAAAAACAATCCACGCATGAATGCCGCAGAGTTAGAATGTCCTGCTAAACTTTTCTTTCCCTTCATGCTAAACTAACTCCTATTAAAACCAGAATCTTCTGGTATAAACAAATTGTTCTTTTCAAAGTTTCAAAAAAAAAAAAAAAAGAAAAAAAAAGCTGATTTTATTTTATTACTCACGGTGGAAAGTGCCTGTCAGGGGTGTTTGTACCCGTGTACCGTCGCCGTCTTTAATATCCTGAAGATGTTTTGAGCTAATTAAGCATCGTTAAGGTCCCCGGTGACACTGCGAGATGAAAGCAGTTTGATCAAAGTTTTACAGCATCACAGTACTTGAAGCTTCTGCACGGTGCCACCGAACTAACACTAGAGCAAGTCAAAACCGTCTCGTTGTGCCTCTGTTCGTCTACTGTCTTTGATATTGGTGTCTGTTCAGCTCATGCCAGAACTTTTTAGGGCTTTTTTTCTTCTTTTTATTGTAATGTCATTGTGTTTATGATATATGAAACTGAAAGCTATTGTTGGAGATACTTTTGTTGCCATTATGCTCTATGATCTACGTTGATTGCACAAATACTGTTAACGTCCACGTCCTGTATGGTGTCGTATTGAATCTTTATTAAAGTTGTGATATTTTGGAGAAAGGAATGTGGTCATTTGGTTTCATCTAAAACTTAAAATTATAGAAATGAAGCTTGCTGGGTTTAGTAGTGTGTCAAATTAATAATACTTTAAAAAAGATCAAGCACAGACTGCATTTTGGGCAGCTTCACGGTGAGAATAATGGAGTGGGAGGGGAAACAAAAAAATAAAAAATAAAATAAAATAAAGGGCAACTGATGACATCTGAAGATTATTGCAGTAAAGAAAAAAGAGAACCATTTATCCGATTCTAAAAGAACTCAAAGAGAATCAAAGAGAGCGAAGCCTCAGACTGTGACAGCTCTTCTTTTATTCAGGAATACACTCAATGCAGCAAACAGATGAGCAGCAGCAGCTGCACACACAGTACTTGCCAGACTCAATAAAATTTTAATCTACATCAAAAAAAAAAAAAGGAAAGAAAACTCTTCCTTACAATTCACTTCAAAAGTTCGTTATTAGTCCGAAAGGAAAATCAAATGCTCGTCTGAAGCGGAAGTTGTTTAGTCATGTAGTACAAAGAAACAGGGAGCCGTCTCTAAATGAGAACATCATTGCTAACGGTGGAAAAACATATCACTTCTACATTTGTTCCTTGTAATATATAATACATCCTGCCTCTCCCAGAACTGTTTGAGCTTGCAGGTTACTTTCTTTTTTCACTTTTTGTTCTGGCGATTGTCCAGATGGACTGCAGTCTGAGATTTTCCCAAAAATATAGGGGTTGCTTTTCTGGGAACTTTCGGTATATCTTCCGTAACTCTTACAGGGTTATTTTCTTTGGACTTGCAGATTATTTCTTGCGGTTTGAGCTACGTTATCAAATGACTTGGAACATAATGTCGTTCAAAATCCAAACATGAGTTTCCAAAGCTTTCAGGTTATTTTTCAAGCTGCTCCAGCTTCACTCTCTTGGAACTTGAAGGTTAAACTTATTGGAGCTTACAGGTTACTTGAAATGTATAAAATTCAGACAATGGCATAAAATAACTTGTAATCTGAAGCCTTTCAGAACACGGAGTCTGCAATCTTCCTTGGTCAATTTGTAGCCTGAAGTTTAAGTAAAATTGCAAAGAGGTGCTGGTAATGTACAAGGTCTGTGTGAATTGAGGGAAAATGCCATGAAAGTAATATTTTAATTCAGAAAAATTAGGCTCTCAATTCCATTAAAGTACCATTTAATTTTCATAAATGCAAACTCTAAACTCCAGATTCTGTATTACTTAAAACTGCCATCTATTCGGTTGCCGAAAAACAAACTAAAGCAATGCAAATCTCTCGATTGCTTTTAAAAGTACTTTTTTTTGCATAAAATAATAATAATTAAAAAACACTATTTGTTTTAGAAGTCTTCTACTCATCAGAGCTTATAAAGAAGCAAACCTGCTGGAAGAAGCAGGAAGCAAACAAAGAAAGCAACAGCATGCCTCATTTGTTAGAAGATATTGTCAACCTTGCAATATTCCTCCTTGAATATATGCTTGTGTGATAGTTAATTCAAATATCTCAGGCTTCCTTCGTCGTTCCTTGCATTTTTACTTTATTTATTTATTTATTTATTTATTTATTTATTTATTTATTTATTTATGTTTCCTTGGTTTCTTCTGCTAAGATGCATTCAACATGTTTCCTGGCACAAAAAGAGCCACGCAGAGTGCGAGGCTCTCGCTTCTCAAAGCTGCGTCACGAATCTGTCACTTTTTTTTCGTTCCCCCCTCCCCGATTCGCCGGGTAGCTGTGAGCAAATACTGTCAAGCGACTAAGAAATGTGACAAATCTCTCACCTTTTAGTTGGACCAATTAGCATATAATGCGCTGCGCTGTTAGGAGTCGGGGAAAACTCCAGTGACTTTCTGGTGACAGTGTGGGCAGCTATTTTAGTAAGTGAGACGTGACAAAGCTCTGTGTTTTTCTCTCCATTTCCACAAAAAATAAAAAAATAAAAAATAAAAAAATTCGTATTTATGATTATTGCCAGAGCTAGATTGAGATAATGTGATGTTCCACCTGATGTATAAACACTCAAATTAGATTAAGTTTCTGTAAATTTGACAGTCTTCAAAGGTGTCGTTGGTTATCATTTATTCATATTGAGAGCAGTGTCAATGCTGCTGTAAATAAAGATTTTTGCTGCTTTCTAAGAAAAAAAAGGCGACATTATGTTTGAATCACAATACTTTAATTCTTTTTAATTCTTTAGCATCCTAAACTTACGACGCGAAGTGAAGCTCAGAAAAGTCAATTTTTACATAATACTGCTTCTTTATAATGTTTGCCACTAAATCAGTAACTAGAGCTGAGATAATTTTTACATTTTTGTATGTATCAATTTTGTTGTCGCTATAATTATTATGTTTCAATTTCATTCAGTTT